CCCCTCGCGCCCCGCCGCGCCCGCGCCCGCGCGCCTGCACTGTGAGGTGCGTGTAGGCCGCGACGCCGACCGGGGCCCCCGCGAGCACGGTCAGCACCTCCACCAGCCGCGTGCACATGAGGGGCAGGTCCTGGGCCATGCGCTGGTCTGGGCTCTCTACAACGTCCTGTGGTGGGTTTATTCGGGGGGAAAACACCATTAAATACTTTTATGTATGTACATTCGCGTGTGTTTAAATACATATATTCATCAACACATATACAGATGTATGTGCATGCACTTGTGTGAATGTGTGTGTGTGTTTGTGTGTGTGTGTGTGTGTGTGTACATGTGTGTGTTCGCATTTGCGCCTGGTAAGGCGCGGCCTTGAATCAAGGGATGCCAGCTATATTGGTGGCGCGCAAGGCTGGGAAGCGGCACCCCAAAGCGGGCAGGGGCGAGTCTGCCTGTCGGTGTTGCGGCGCGCACCGCCCCCGCTGGAGCGCCCGAGGCAGGGGCCTCACGATTCAGGCGGCCTGCCGCGGCCGCCACGGTGACCGTGACAGGTCAAGCCCGGCTGCTGCTGTTTTGAAACCAGACCAACTTTTATGATGAGCGTCACACGACTGACGGATGACTCATAGATGACGCGCACGAGGCCGACTCACCCGAAAGGCGAAGAAAGGGGGCGCCATCGGGCCGACATCGGGCGCCGCGCCGCACCCGCCCACGCCGCCGACGCAGTACAGCCAGTGGGCCCGCCTGCCCAGCCGCCGCCGCCAGTCCAGCGCCAGCCACTCGCAAAAGGCGGCCTTGAGGGCGAAGAAGGCGGCCGCGGCCGCGTACAGCGCCGCAAAGCCCGCCATCGCCGCGCCGAGCTCGTCCCGCCGGCCGTCGACAAAGATCGCGTAGCAGCGGCCGGAAATCGCGCCGACGTTGGAAACGACCCAGGCCTCGGCGGCGGCGGCGGGGACGAGCGCGAGGGCCGGCCAGGCGCGGGCGCGGCGAAGCAGGCCGCAGGCGCGGCGGGCGAAGAGGGGGCCGACGTCGGCAGCGGGCGCGGGCGCGAGCGGCCGGGGCGGGCGCGGCGAGGGCGGCTTGAAGGGGCCTTGGGGGGCCGCTGAGGGCGAGCTTGGGAGCAGGGGCGTGCGCAGGCCGGCGTCCGCGGCGGCGGTGCCGCCGCAACTGGCGGGGGCCGGCTGGGTGGGCGGCGCCGGCAGGTGCATTGCTGCAAAGATATCGCGCCGTTTACGAGCGTGCTGTAGGGAAGGCACGCTGGTGGACAGCAAATCCTGTCGTCCACCACCCTTATTTAAGTTGAGCCTCCATGAGTATGTGTACAGCACTCTCAAATTCGGCCGTCTGCGCCTCGACCAGAACGCGTCTGTCACAGATTTGTAAGCGCGGCGGTGCTCTAGACTTCAGAGCAATTCAAAAACATGTTTGACGCGCTGCATGCCAGTTGCATCCGTGTGTGTACAGGGCACCAGATAGGCTCCGCGAGGGCAACTCCGCGACCTTTCCGTGTGACAATCAGCCATAAAAGGCCCAGATGTATGATGTAGCATTATACTAACTGGACAACCAAATATTGGCACCACGACTGCATGTATGGGTACAGTATCTGTGCCCCGTATGTTGGCGGCGCTGCCGCAGCACAAATCACTGCTGAGCACAAGCGCAGGCCCTGAATCACGCATTTCGGATGCTGCAACTCATGAACGCGCATCGGACTTGGCATGCTGCTCGACTTGCGCAGAACCCTCGTAGTCAACCTGGCGGTCAAAGGCAGCTAAGTCGTGGAGCCCGAGCCACAAGGAGGCTGGCAGCAATGCCACCGTTGCCGATGTCAAGCCCTGGTATTGATGAGCGCCTCAGCGCTCAAGGCAAAGAACGGGCCGTGTCACTTTGCTGCGCTGCGGCAACGTACAGAGGCAATCCTCAGCTCTGCCTTGCGGTGGACTCCCACGGCAAGTGGCAGAGGCGACCTGCAGCAGGATGCGCACAGGCCAGGCGGTGCCACGCTTTGGCAAATGCTGCTTGTGGCAGAGCTGTCATAGGCAGGGGCGTCGCCTGAGCTCGACTGCACACCTATTCTCTGCAGTGCGGTGCCCGCAGGTGGGCTTGGATCTGCCAAAGCCTGCTTTTTGCGCAGACAAAGCCTGATTCACCTTTCTTACTGCCGCTTGCTCCTGCGTTGGGCTAACTCGTATGGTGTGCAACTTTTCCCTCCCCAACATCGACAGCAGCAGCGGCGGCCCGTCACGCCCCTGCCCCTGAGGCCTGCCCTTGCTCCCGCCCCTGCTCCTGCAGATGCCTCGCACCGGATTCCGGCCTCTCCGCACTATCGCCCCGGCGTGATAATGTCATGAAGGCGCCTGCACTCAATCAGGCCGGCTCGGCCAAGCTCAATGGCAGGAGCGGCCCCGCACGTCCCCCATGTATTCTCAACGCTGGCGGGCCGATTTGCAAGTCAGCCAAGCACTTTATATCCTATCCCCCTGCATGCTTTGAAGTCGCCTGGCTGCACAGGGCACGTGTAAGCGCGGCCGCAGCCGCATCTACGGACACGAGCCCAGCACTGGGCGCTCGGGTGCGCGCGGCAAGGCATGCGGTTTCCCATAATGATGTTTCTGTCATCATTGCGAGGGGTCCGCGATAGCTGTGGTCACAGCTGGCTGTGGCGTTGGCCAGGCTGCAGCAATCCTGAGTGCGCGCAATCCAGATTCTACCCCCCCCCCCCCCC